GGAGCTGGGCTGCACGCCGAGGCAGCGCCAGGACATCCCGCTCCCTCCCCTCCCTCGCCAGGCGCCACTTTTATTTTTACATCCATCAGGCTTTTCTGCTAAGGTGCCATCGATTCCAGGTGAGCTGTGCCTCGCTTGGGCAACATGCATGAAGTTGTTTATGCTGGTTTGGGCTTTTATTTTGTATTTGTATTGAACGTGAACTTGTTGCACCAAATAAAGAATATTCTTCTAAATCTAGGCATTTCTTTCGTGGGGGAGAAAGGAAAGAGAGCGCCGTTGTCCTGTTCACCGAGAGGGCAGATGAAGGACCCGAACCCTGGCCGGGGCTCAGGCCTTTAGCTCCTGACCTTGGGCAACCTGCCGCACCGGGGCAGGCGGTGCCTGGGTGGGAGCCCAGTCCGGCAGCGACGCCCGTGACTCGCTGGGAAGGGAAACCCTGTGCCCACCGCGCTATCAGGCTTTAGCACCATGTTTTGCTGTCCTGGCTCTTCTCCAAGCTGTGTCTGCATCCAGTTCGGTCAAAGCGGAAACCGCCGCTGTCCAAGCCATGCTGCTCCCTGCCTGCCATCTCCGCTCCTCTTCATCTCCACCGTGGTTTTCCAGGAAAGATCTCAGCTCTCCGAGATGCTGTTGGAGCAGGGGAAGGGCTCAAGGAGGGCTGGATTGGCTCTGCAGGTCAACAACCAGTCCTGCTTAACCTCTTCATTAATGGTCTGGACAATGAGGCAGAGCACACCCGCATTGTACCAGGTTCACTGATGACACCAAACGGGGAGGAGTAGGTGACCCACCAGAAGGTCGTGCTGCCAGCCAGAGGGATCTCAACAGGCTGGAGAAATGGGCTGAAAGGAACGTCCTGAAGTTCAACAAGGGGAAGTGCAAAGTCCTGCACCTGCAGAGGAACAACCCCAGGCACCAGGACATGCTGGGGGCCGCCCAGCTGGGGAGCAGCTCGGCAGAAAAGGCCTTGGGGGTACTGGTGGACACCATGAGCCAGAAGCGTGCCCTTGTGCCAAAGAAAGTGAATGGTATCTGGGGCTGCATTAGGAGAAGCATTTCCAGCAGGTTGAGGGAGGTGATCCCTCCCCTCTGCTCAGCACAGGTGAGGCCACCCCTGGAGCGCTGGGCCTGGTTCTGGGCTCCCCAGTGCGAGAGACACGGACAGACTGGACAGAGTCCAATGAAGGGCTATGAAGATGACACAGGGTCTGGAGCACCTCTCCTATGAGGGGCGGCTGAGAGAGCTGGGGCTGTTCAGCCTGGAGAAGAGAAGGTTGAGGGGCTCTTGGTGCTGCAGCAGGCAATAGGCACAACCCGAAACACCTGAAACTCCATCACTGCTAGAAAACACTTTACTATGAGGGTGGTCAAACACTGAAACAGGTTGCCCAGAGGGGCTGTGGAGTCTCCGTTCTTGGAGGTATTCAGAACTGGACAAATGTCCTGGGCAACCTGTGCCAGCTGACCCTGCTAGAGCAGGGGCTGGACTAGACGGTGTCCAGAGGTCCCAGCCGTCCTCCGCCACTTGGCACAGCACATCCGTCCTGGTTTGCCCACCCATAGGTGTATTTTTCCACAGTCTTGTGCAAGAACTTCTCTCATGTACTTGGACTCCTTAAAGTCAGCAGTTTATTTCCAAATATGAATGTTAAAAATTGTGTCCTTTTGGAGCAGTGTTCTTCTGTGGCCACCATGGGAGGCACTGCAAAGTGCATCTATGCCCATTGCTGCCTTACTGGGTATTTGCTTTTTAGATACAGGTATTGCCCTAATTATCTGTATTTAATGCTTGATGAATGCACGAAACTAAAAGCACGGCGATGATGGCTTCAGGACGGGTTTTGCTGAATGGTGGCACCGTTCCAGCTGTCAGCGGAGAGATGTCAACAGATGATATTTG